GTTCAGCAGACACAAAAGTCGAAATCAAGCAACAAGATTAAGAAAACCCATTCGAATGTCCCTTTGCAGAAACCTTTGCAGCTCGAATTACACAGATACATACACATACAACACTCAATCAAACACACTACCCGTATCCATGTGCATACAGAAACTCGAAAAGCATATAGAGGATGAAATTACCGGTTCCGGAGCCGGTGGGATCGCCGCCTTGAACGAGAAATCCGGGGATAACACGGTGAAAGATGGTGTTGTCGAAGTAACCCTCGAGACAAAGTTGAACGAAGTTTCTCACGGCCTTTGGAGCTTCCTTCGGCCATAGCTCGATGTCGATTGGTCCGTGAGTGGTCGTCACTACCACCTTCCCCTTCGTTGGGGGCTCGAGCACGTACACCGTCGACATCTTCTCCGATTACGCTTCTTCTTCTCGCTCAAATTCTCGTTCCTTTGCTTTGCAAAGATACGCGGAGTCCGGTTAGCTAATTAAACCAAACCGGTTAACCGGTTAATTTCAGAAAACGCATTACTTAGAACAATTTTAGCATAATTGTGTGATTAGAAAACAATCGAACTGATTTACCTCAAAATTTGGATGATATTACTGTTTCACCCCTAATGATTTTTTTTTTTGCGAAGGAAAATTAGCTAGAGATTGTATGTTCTGGTTATAAAAAAAGGCAATTTGCATCTATTTTTTAAATGTTATAATTATATGGTTATTATTTTATAAATTTAAATTTTTTATATAAACAAGTACCCCAAAGATCAATGGACATAATTTTGTAACAATATTTCACCAGACACTCATAAAAGAGTCGCATATGGTGCATCGGTTATAAATTGGGGTAATGGCAAAAAAAAAAATATGAAATTTGGGTATTTGACAAATAAATACAGAAACCTTTATTTTGATAATAAAATACACAAACTTTTGGAATAATGGCAAAAAAAAATTAATTTTTTTTATTTGGCAAATAAATACACAAACTTTTATTTTGGTAATAAAATACACAAACTTTTATATTTTTAGCGCAAACCTCCACGAACAATAACGACGTCAAAAATAACGGAACCATCAACACGTCATCTATATTTGTGAATATCCGTATCCGATATAAAAATTATAAAATTTTAAATTAAAATTAAAAAACAATTTTAAATATAAATAAATTATATAGGTCATTTATATTCAAATTTTAAAATTTAAATATTTAAAATTAATATAAATATAAATATAATCATAATCTATCATATACAAATGCATTCAAAGTTTAAACATTCTAAATCTCAATTATATAAAATATTTCTTAAATATATCTACAAAACATGTAAATATAAAGTATTTTAAATTTCTATACCAAATTATTCTTATATTTAATAGTATTATTAATTAGTACGAATCAGATTGAATATGTCGGATAATTCGAATTTGATATCTGTATCCGATCCGTAACCGATAAATATTTCAAAATAAATATCTGTATCCGATTCGTACGTTCTGGATATCTGAATATTTATATTTATATTGATTTTAAATATTTAAATTTTAAAATTTGAATATAAATGACCTATATAATTTATTTATATTTAAAATTGTTTTTTAATTTTAATTTAAAATTTTATAATTTTTATATCGGATACGGATATTCACAAATATAGATGACGTGTTGATGGTTCCGTTATTTTTTTTTACGTCGTTATTGTTCGTAGAAGTTTGCGTTAAAAATATAAAAGTTTGTATATTTTATTACCAAAATAAAAGTTTGTGTATTTATTTGCCAAATAAAAAAAGTCCCGTTCATGTTTTTTTTTTTTTGCCATTAACCCGTTATAAATTACCAAATATACACGTATTTATATATATTCCCCGGCACAAATGCTTCTGTTTTTGCAGAAAATACAATTCTTTCTTTCTTTTTTTTTCAAATTCTTGTGAAGGAGATAACCCGAGAGGGAAATATCTGCTTACGTGGCAGCTGCTTATACGTTGCAAATCACAGTGTGGGCCCCTTCCTCTTCCAAAATCATACGTGGCACCAACCAAAACGTGGTATTCGTCTCGCTCCCTCTCTCTCTCTCAAGCAACAACAATGGCGTCCGCAGCTCCTTCTCTTGCAATTTCCTCGTCGTTCTCCGATTTCCGGACTCAGGTTCATTCCTCTAACCGACCGAATCTTCCGTTCTCGGCGTCAGTTCCGTGCAAGAACCATTCACAGAGTCAGAGAAGATTGAGACTCCCCGTCGTCGTCGGTTCGGTCTCGACGCCGAACGCGGAGCTCCGTACAGGTCCCGATGATCTCGTTTCCTCCATACTCTCCAAGGTATGTTATCTCTTTTTCGCTGGAAACCTCTCCGGAATGGATATTCGGCGCTTGAATCTGAATCCCGATTTTGATCGAATCCAGTCAATTAGTGTTCCATGTTATGGAATTTTTTGGGTAATAAAAATCTGTGTAGACAAATCTCTGGCAATAAACAGCCGTGATGTGTGACATATCGCCGGATTTCTGCTTTATCTTTCGCCGGAAATCTCTTTGGCGGCGATATTTCTGATGTATCTTGATTTCGATTGAATTCTGTCCTAGAGTGTGTAATGTTTTGGAATTGGTGACTGTATATGCAAAATCTCTGGATGCTTTCTCCTCTGGTTTTGGAAAAGATCTGAAAAGAGAGAGTGTGTTGAAACAGGTTGCGAACAGTGATGGAGGTGTGACGTTGAGCAAAGATCAACACAAGGAAGTGACACAAGTGGCTAAGGAGCTTCAGAAGTACTGCGTTGACGAGCCTGTGAAGTGCCCCCTCATCTTCGGAGGTAAGACGACGATCACTAACAGAGAATCCTCATCTCGATTCGAATGCAGTCGCTTGTGTTATGCTCGAAAACATCTCGATTCAAATGCATTTGCTATTTTGCTTGTGTTGTGCTAAAAAAATGTCTCGTTTCGAATGTGATTTGCTGTTGATACGCAGAGTGGGATGTGGTGTACTGCTCTAGACCGACATCTCCGGGAGGAGGATACAGAAGCATGTTGGGGCGTCTCGTTTTCAGGACAAAGGAGATGATTCAGGCTATTGAAGCTCCCGATATCGTCAGGAACAAAGTGGCCTTCTCCGCATTTGGCTCTCTCGAAGGAGAGGTCTCCTTGAAAGGTGAATCCAATACACATTGTTTTGGATTATGCGAACGTTTCCCCACCAAACCAAACTTGTGTTCATTGTTAGTCTAGCCTAGATATGTCAAAATGGGTTTAATCGGGGTTTATGGGTACATCCAATCCATTTTGGCATACATATATAATCTGATAACATGATTCGGCAGGGAAGCTGAAAGTGATGGACAGCGAGTGGGTTCAGGTGATATTCGAGCCGCCGGAGCTAAAGGTCGGAGCTTTGGAGTTTAGATATGGGTTTGAAAGCGAAGTGAAGCTTCGGATTACTTACATTGACGACAAACTTAGGTTGGGAATTGGTTCCAGAGGATCTTTGTTCGTCTTTAGGAGACGTCAATGATTACTAACAAGCATCTCTTCACCCAAAAAAAAAAAAAAGCAGTATCTACATCTTTGAGTTCCAAAAAAATTGGTGGTGTATTCTAAATAAATTGAAAAAAAAACAAACAAACAATGTCGATGTTGATTCAGTGGAACTTTGTATCTTTAGCCATGGACCAGTTTGCAACTGGACCTTAATTAACTCTGACTCTAATTGTTTCTATCTTGAAAATTCAGTATTCACAAGTTTATTTTGATAACATGATAACAATAATCAACCTTAGAATTCTGTAATCTTATTTCCATACATTTGTTGAATGTAATTAATTGAGTCCTATTATGGAATAAATTACAGTTCTATATTTACTCCGCAAAATCCACGCCATGTCATAGTGAAGACACATAAATATATTGCTACAATATGGAAAACAAAATTACAATTATTTTATCCATCACATTGGTGCAATCAAACGCAAAACTATAGGATATACAATACGGTCCGAAAAGCACAACAATTTTGCAGATTAATAAGATGTGATTTTGAATCTCACCTCTTCTGGAAATTCAAAACCTTCACAGAAAACGCGTAAATGGAGGCGAAGAACACAGCGAACGCAATGAGGATAATAGACACAGCCCACAAGAAGTCATAGTTGAAGCCGTAGTAATCGCTCATGAACTGAGCCACCGTTTCGCCTGTTTCGAGCCTTGTTCGTGTGTCTCCGTACTGAGAAGACACCACTCCGTACGTGCTCCACGAAACCGGACATACCTTTGTGTACCATCTTATCCAACTTGGGATTCTCTGCCATGTTTCAGGAACATGTTTATTTTTTTTTTCAGACATGGATATGGATTCATGGATGAAAACGAAGAAAAAGGGCTAGGGTTAGATGATTACACACCGGGCTAGGAATGGCGAATCCCGAGAAGACGGTCCACAGAACAGAGATGATACCGTTTAATACCGCTCCGAATTCTTGGCTTGGACTGACTGAGATGATGGCGATGCCATTGAAGATGAAGTAGAGGATGGTGATGAACATGAAGAACAAGGTGAGCAAGAACTTGGCCGCTGTCCATTCGTATCCGATCATCGCGTAGACGATGACCGTGTATATGCAGGCCTGAACCATCGTGTACGGAATCTCGATCGCTACCTGGAGTGATGATCGATTTCAGAAAACGTAACAGGTTGTAAATGAAGTGTTGTTTCCTAGGGTTTTTCTTTCTTGTGACGCAAGTTACCTGCGCCAATGCGTAAGGCAACGCCGAGTACATTCCCGCAGCTCTCTCTCTATAGAAAACGGCTCGTCCGGCTATAACGACCGGACGAGCGGTAGCGGCACTTTGAGCTCCTAAGAAGTTTATACATGTTGTCATCGCTCCAACGTTGTTGAAGATATCTTGTCTTGATCCTCTGTTGCACGATTCATACGACTTATTGATTTCAGATCCAAATATATACGTATATGTATAGATATACCCTAGACCGACGTTTTCAGCATATGTACCTTCGTTTCCCGAGGCCGAAAAAGATGATTCCGTACATTATCCCCACAGCGGCGCTGAACCAAAGGCGAGAAGCGTTGTAAGGAACGTTTCTCCAATACGATCTGTGCTGCCTCCAGAAACAGGCTTTGAACTGAGTGAAGTAAGACTGTGAATACATCGTCTCGAAGTGGATATCTTGCGCCTCGGGACCGATTTGATTGATCTCCGCGATCATCTCTTTGTTTCTCCTGTGATGATTATCGAAATTTCCAGTTAGATATCCGGGTTTTTTTCGGATGAATTCTTGAAACAGATTCAAGGGATTCAAATGAGTTCTTGAACCTGTAGAGATCTGAATTCTTGTAAACTTCAGCAAATTTAACTCCAAGAACGTCTTCTTGTGCCCTTGTTGTAACTTCTAACGCCCATGTCGCGGGGTTGATCCCGTCCTTGATTCTCTCGACCCCTTTAACGCTCTGCCAATTTTCCGAAACATTCGTTTACATACGAAGAACGACAAAAGAACGATGAAGTAGACGAGTAAATCGTTGGAATCTCACCTGAAAAAACTCAATCAGTTGACAAGAATGTTGCCCGAGCGGTCCAACGTAAATTTCTTCGCCTCCTCTCGTCATCAGGATGAGCTAACATATATAAAACATGATCAAACCGCGAGATTTTATGGTTTCGGATCGAAACTAATATCATAAGATAAGCGATGGAACGTCGAGAAATTTCGATTTTTTTTTTCGTTTTCTACCTCGTCGAAGGATTCAAAGATATCGATGCTAGGCTGGTGGATTGTGCATACCACGGTTCTTCCCGTGTCGACTGTGTTTCTCACCGTTCTCATCACTATGGCGGCCGCTCTTGCATCCAATCCTGACGTCGGCTCGTCCATGAAAATGATCGAAGGATTCGCAACGAGCTCAACCGCTACCGTCAGCCTCTTTCGTTGTTCGGTCGAGAGACCACTAACCGTTGGATACCCGACAAGCATGTCCCTCAACGATTTCAACTCGATCAATTCCATCACTTCTTCGATAAAAAGCTGCAAAATTTTACAGACATGTCGATGAATTCACGTTCTTGACGATTTGTTTTCGAAATAAATGTGTCAAAATGTGCACAACTGACCTCTCTGCTGCGAGCGTCGATATCCCGGGGTAACCTTAACCAAGCCGAGTAAACGAGGGACTCGTAAACTGTGACAAGAGGCGAATGGATATCGGATTGCTCACAGTATCCCACAACTCGAGCGAAGCTTTCTTGTTTCTTAGGGAAACCCGAAACTTTGATGTCCCCTTCGATGTATCCGCTGTTTTTACGGCCCGCTAATACATCCATTAGAGTTGTTTTCCCGGCCCCGCTAACCCCCATCAAGGCAGTGAGAACTCCCGGTCTGAAAGCTCCGGTTACTCCCTTGAGAAGTTCCAGTCTTTCCTCTCCAAATCCGTGCGATTTCATCGCCTAAAAAACACACGGGATTTAGTATCGGAATCAGAAATATTACCACGAGATCGATATATATAGAACTCACCTTAGGCATATCGACCGAATATTTGATGTTCTCGAACGTTAGACAAAGCGGCTTGAAAGGAAGAAGCATTCCTTGGTCATCGTAACTCGTCATCGACACAACACCTGAATGTTTTTACGACATTGATGTTGCCTTATGCCTGTTCATATATGGTTGTAAAATGTCGAGAAGAGAGAAAGAGAGGTGTAGAGTCTTTTAGGACATACTTCCGAGTTGTCGTTCTGTTCGTGTCCCGTCCCTGGTTCTGTCTTGATCAGTTTTCCTCTTCTCTTCTACGCTTTCTTCTCGCTCGGCCGCTACTCGGGATTTCCCGTATTCTGTTGAAAGCAAATCTCGCTCCGTAAACGAGCCTACTCGATACAAAAAACAACGAAACGATGAACAGATTTTCTCGGTATCGAGGGCACTCACCGTTTAGATAAGCCAGAGACAAAGCAGTGATCGCATTGGACAACAATATGGAGACGATCAATGCTAGAATTCCGATCCAATACCAGTAAGATTCCGAAAACGTTCCTCGAGATTTCAGAATCGTCTTTCCAAGAGATTCTTTTGCTCCATCAAGAACCTGAAATATCGATTTTCGTACCACGGTATTCAGCTCTATAACCCTCGATTCCAAAGGAGAGCGATTCTTCATGTTTTCAGACACTTACTTTTCTCCATGAATCGCTCAAGAACTCGTTAACCGAGATCGCTGTCTGAACGTACATCAAAGGAGACGTCCAATATCCCCACACGAGCCATTTATGCACATTTTCTGCAGAGAAGCAAGATTTCGATAAGATCTTTCACATCCGTAACGAAACCTTTGCGAAATATATAGAGCAAGTACTTACTTCGTGACAGCACGAATCCGTTGAACGTTATGAGCCACATGAGAGCAAGACATCCGAGCGTGTTTGAAACCACATGATCCCGACTTATGGCGGCTATGCAACGAAAGAGTCCATAAGACATTTGTCCGCAGAGAGACAGAACAAAGTAATGCTTAAACAACCTTCGAAACAAAAGAAGAAACCGTAAGAATTTGACATTTCTGCGTGCAGACGTTAACCGAGAATCCGTTTATTTGCTCCGATACTTACATTGCAGCGCTCGGATTAAATCCGATGACATAGTATGTCAATGCAACCAGTATGATGACTTCTATGAAGGATATAGGGAAGCCGATGATCGAGGTTGGTAACGAGAATGCCCAAGACGGGAAAAAGAGGAAATCCCGCTGCTTGTAGAACACTGGAAGCTTCTCAATAGTCATCGGGAGCTCGAAAAAACCCGAGAAGACAACCATCTGCACTATTAGAAACATCGATCCCATGTAGATGTATCCGTCCTCTACCGTGCTGCGGTAGTTTTTCGATTGAGAAAACACGATGGCGATGATGATCCCGTTGAGTTCAAGCTGAAAATTTCGCAGGAGAAAACGTTTCAAAACCAACCATCTTATGCTTAATCATTAGAACAAACTTGATTTGAAGAGAGAAAGAGGGGAAGATTCAGATCTCACTTGAAATGACTTGAAACCGTAAACGAACATCGTTCTCTTCATCAGAAGGTATTCTCTTTCCAAGCAGTTCTTCAGTAACTCGAACTTGCTCGCCCCGTATTTGGTTTTCGTCAGAGCGGCTCGGTGGTTTTTCGATCTATCGAACGGGATTTCGAGCTGCTCCTTGATGGTTTTGCTGACATGGAACGACTTGAAAGCTTCTGAAAACTCTTTAACCGATACGTAACGGTAAGGCAGTTCATGATTAGCCCAGTATTGTTCTTGATCTTTTATCGATATCACCTGATTCATTCATCAACAACCTTAATGCATCAGAGAGATGTGTTCATTTCAGACAAGGTTAGATAAGATTGTGTTGGAAAAACATAAGAACTTACTTCTTGCAAGTAATCAGCAGTGCCTTTTCTTGCAGGACATTTAAACCCCATAGACTCGAAGAACTCGAGCACGTTTTCGCGGGGACCTTGGTACACGATCCGCCCTTCGGCGAGAAGGATAACGTCATCGAAGAGATCGAATGTCTCGGGGGGAGGCTGGAGAAGAGAAACGAGTGCCGTCTTGTTCAGAACGTGAATCATCTGTCTGATGCATTTGATGATTTGAAACGTCGTCGAGCTGTCTAGACCGTCGGATATGTTGTCCATGAAGAAAGCTCCGACCGGACCGACCAACATCTCGCCTGAGAAAATCGATCCCGAGGTTATTACAAGACACGTTAACAACAAAACAAGGATCCGAAACCTCTACCTGTTGTCACCCTCTTCTTTTGCCCTCCAGAGATCCCTCTGATCATATTGTTTCCGACTATCGTATCAGCGCATATATCAAGCCCTAATATCTATAAGAAGAAAAACGTTCATCGGTTATCCATAACATAAACCCTTTTTTGTGTATGCATTCGAATGAAAGCTTTTCTTTTCCTTTACCTTCAAGACATAATCTGTAACGACATCTTCCTTGTGTCCTTTCATTACAGAAACCTACGTATCAGAATTCTCACTTAGTATTTTAGCAGATCATATCATAAGAACCGGAAGCCTCTACGTCGTTAAATCGGATTCTTTTACCTTCATCAGAGCGTCGAGGTAAGGATCTGGCTTGATATTCAGGTTCTTCTCCCTTCTCAATAGCTCCACAAGCATGTCTGTTCTTGAAAATTTTACATCAAAACCAATGCCAGAGATTCTTTTTTGGATACGGAAAAGAATGAAAACGCCGAAAAACATACCATATCCCGTGCCGACACCTTGGCATTTCGCGGAAAACGTTAATGTTTCACGGACAGTTAGCTGGGGCAAATGAACATCGTACTGGCTGATGTATGCAGCAGTTCTTTGAGGCACAAACTCGTGAAATTCATGCCCGTTGTATGTAACGTCCCCCGAAATCTAACATTAAGTAACAAAAAAATCGTTTTGGTTAACTGATTGACAGAACTAATCAATCAATTTCGTCTAAAGGGTAAAGGGAAGAGCAAAGATTTGAAACAGTGGATGTACTTTGAGTCCTGCATCGAGTTTTCCAGACAAAACTTGAAGAAACGTCGATTTTCCCGATCCAGGTGGTCCTAAAAGAAGAGTTAATCTGTGATTTTCAGACAGCAAAATGACAAGAATGAGATCTCCATTGTGTTTAAAGTCACTAGAGAAGGCTAATCAGTGGAAATTCAACATTCTCTGTAAACCTGCCGGGCTTGATGATACCGCTAATGTCGGTAAGAACCGAGAATTTTTTCTTTCGATCCGAGAGAAGGCCGACACGAGCTCCAAAATCCTTTTCGAGGACGAAGAAATGAGATCAGAGGTGAACGAGAAATCCGCAGGGAATGATTACTTGGGAAACACGAAACATCGAGTTTTTTTTTTTTACCTCGACGATGTTAACAAAGGAGTTCATGATTGTGGGAAGAGCTCTGTTACCAACGTAGGCTTCGGCCGTCACGTTCACATCCTTGTATCGGACTTCGATTGTTGGTAGATCCAGTGAGACTCTGCGTTATACGAGTTTGCATGTGATATGGGAAATATAATACATGAAGGGTTATCCAAAATATTCATTATTATTCGAATAACTTTTTTTTTTGATTAAATGATCATTCGAATAACTTATGATTAGGTATATATATATATATATATATATATATATATATATATGCAAAAGAGGGTCTGACCTGTCAATACGTTTCTTGAGCCTACGAAGGTATTCTTCATGCCAATTCTCATCGTTGTTCGTAATCACCCTATCAAACAGCTCTCTTCTCTCCTCAAACCCTAAATTCTTCATGTCGAACTCCTTGAAATCGCCGGTAACGCCTCTCAGCACGACTTTTCGGACACGATCGTACGTCGAAAGACGCTGCAGACGCTCGAGGGCCGCCCACTGCATGGCCTCTTCCTCCTCCTCCTCTTCCTCTCGGCCTCTGCCACTCATCAAACTCGAGGTCTCTGACGTCACTCTGTAATGGCTTCCCATCTTTTTCCTCGAGAGATCTGCAACCTTTAGGAACCAAAGTTTGACGGTGATGATGATGGTTTAGCAAGCTCTTGTGTGCAAAACCTCCTACCTATGCCATGCATATATACATGCAGATACATGCGTACATGTGTATGTAAGTGAATTTGGGTGGAGATGGACACGACATGGGCATATGTGGTGAGTGAGATTGGGTTCTGGCCAGGAGCAATAAATGTCGGATTCTTGCATTCACGAAGCATGGATTTTTTTATTGCTACGTGTTAGGGTTTAGAGGTTGAGTTTGACTTTGTGGTCTGACCTAAAGATGAGTGGATATGAATTTACTGCTTTTATTTAAAAGGGATCTTAGAGTGAGAAACAATGGAATCAGATGTTTTGAGATATTCTATGGAAACAAATTGGTGGCTAGATATGTTTTTTTTATATACATATAAAGATGGCTAGATATGTTAAAAAAAAAAATCCTTTTGTATTTCCAAAAGAAAGTACAAAAAAGATGTATAAAAAAAATACATAAACAAAAAGGTAAGTTAAATGTTATTTAATTTATTTTTTTATCAACTAATATTTTTGGTTACTCATCCACAAACAAAGAACATTTTATAGTTTTAATAAGAAAATTTATAATGGATCTGATCTAATATACCATGCAAATATCTCAATTTTCAAGAGAATTAACTAACTTAACGTCTCATTAAATTCTTTTACTATTATATTATTGTTCGATTAGGATGATAAAATTATTTTTAAAAAATAAGAAATATTTGTGAATCGAGTTATCGAACAATGTTTCTATTAAATGAGGTTGATTCATGAATTTAGTGGAATTGTACTTCTTTATAGATTCTATCGAACAAATGGCTGACAAAACAAAACTTACATGGACACAACTGAAAAACGGGCCAAGTCGCTGATTTATGGGTTCACGTATTTTTGGATATATGTATATATAAATTCACGTATTTGATTTTGGCACATCAATGATTAAATCGTTTATAGTAAGAAATTAAGATAGATGTTCTCTATTGACCATATATATATATATATATATGGAATTGTATGCTTCTGATCTCGATTTTGGAGAT